TTACACAATGGCACATTCCATCGGTGAGATCAAGGCAAACCCAGATTCAAATGGCAGTTGGAGAAATCTTGAGCGGAGGATGGTAACTCACATTGCAAAAGAGCATGGAGGAAGGCTGATTCACCAAGAACCATTGTTTAAAGATCTTCCACATTTATGTTAAGTTTAAGATGCCTGTAGACACTGAAGTAGAGATGTCAGATGGGCACGTGGCTGTAAGTGCCTTTATTTCAGAGGCGGGTTCGGGCCCGGAAGGTAAATCTGGGAGTCCTCCACATACAGACATGCTGCTTCTGTGGGTTGTCCTGCCCACCAAGTACCTGGTTCCTGAGTAAATCTGGACTGTAGATGAGGCGGGGTGTGAGCCGAGTGTAGCCCACTGCAGCCAGAGCTGGGTGGAGGCTGGGGGAAGAGACACCTGTTCTTGAAGTGACTCCAAGTCCCCTTACCACTTGGGCAGAGCCTTGTCCTTCCCTTCCCATCTCAACAGAGCCACAAGTGCCAGGGATGGGGTTGGGACAACTGGCCCGCACGCAGAGGACATAGGACAGGGAACCTTCCTACTGCCCTGTTTTGCCACCTAAAGAAAGGAACCGAGGGAACGAGGGCCACATTGCCCTCCATCTTTTTTCCTGTGGTGCTGAGGTTGCTGCCAGGTCGGAAAGCTGCAAAAGCAACCGGATTCTACCACTTCTATTTCTTCTCATTCTTCCTCTAGAAGACAGTAAGTTGGGCATCATCACCATATTTCGTTAACCCAAACCTGATCGCCTTTGTTTTACCCTATTCCATGTTTCTTGGGAGGAAGGAACTGTTTGCTCTCATTGTTTTCATATCTGGAAGAAGGAGGAGCAAGAGTGAGGTGGAATCTAGCATTTCTGAAAGAAAGAGGGGATTTCAGAGTTACTGCAAACCAGCAGGAAAGATAGGGGAGACAACCCCAACTTGTCCGAAGTAAAGAGGAAGAGGGATGATGAGTTGGAGATGGGTGCAGGCCCAAGATTCCAGTGCTACCCGCCCTTCTGAGTTCCTGGGCTCCGTATTGTCTTTCAGAGAAAGAAAACTGCCAACTGCCTGCCGTATGGCCCTGCACCAACCTCCACCCTACTGATCACTTAAGAGGAGATGGGAATCTGTATTCTTCCCAACTTCAATGCAGTTTTCTGCACGTTTGTCAACTCTCCAAGATCCTATTTTTAAACTGGTCCTGCTAATCTTTGCCTTCTCCCCTGCCTGCTTCCAAAGCCAGGGTTGAGGTGGGGGTGAGGCGCCTACAAGAGTTTCTGGCTCCACCCCTCATTTCCTGGGCTGAGCTGGGTTGCACTAATTGACCTCAAGGGTCTCAGCTGTGCTAAGCTGGGTGTTTGTTATATCTCGTTAGGCTTGTAATTAGTGCAGAAAATCTAGGTCAGAGGCAACTGGTTGGAGTGATGGTCTCAGGGGGTGTGAATAAAGGCGGGGAATAGCAAACAGGTTCCTCCTTCTGTGTGTGT